TCTCATTTCTCCATCAGGAAGAGGATTTTTCTATTTTTCTCTCTTTCTTGTCATAGTGGGTCTTCATCAATGCCCTAATACAACAAGGTTTGTTGTCCTCACAGCCACCCTGTGGGGCTTGTGATTTGCAATTTTCTCATAGGGTAGTTTCTCCCCTCCTCTAAGCCGATACCAATAAAGCAAGCTTTCCTCAGTTCTCTGCCTTGCACTCAGTTCTTAGGCATCCTTAACTCCAAGGATGGGGCAAATTTCCCATCTCCCACATTCTCCTGTTACCCTACACTCAGTTTTTAGCAATGTGTTGTTTTTTTTTTTTAAACTTCACTTTATTTACTTACCTGTTTGCAATTTGCTTGGAATCTTTCCTTTGTGTTTTTCCAGAAGTAAGACAATACATGCATACTCTTTCTCCTTGGAGGTAATCGCCTTTCCTTGCATTTCAGGCTTCATGGATATACTGCAACTTCACTTCTCTATTGGGTTTCAGAAAAGTTATGATTTTGTAGCTCAGAGTGTTTCTTTTTCTAAGTGTGGATGTGATATGCTTTCCAGTCTTTTCTATCCTGTCAAACTAAACATATTCTTTTCAGTAGCTTGTTGTTACTTTTGGATTTTGCAAGCTATTTATATGGAAAGTCAAAGAATCATAAACTGCAAAAACATTCATGAAGAACATAATGATGAGAATAAGTTGGTGAGTCACTGGTTCAAGAATAAATAAAGTAGTAGAATAGAATAGAGGCCAGAAACAGACCCAGACATTTCATTTACACAGAAGGTGGCATCAGAGAGCACAGTAACAAAAACTCAATATGTACTGTAGAATAAAATCTAAGAGGCAAACAATTATAGATCCAGAAGTTAACATAGGATGTCTTAGACTATTTTGTGTAATTGTAATAAAAAGTATTTAAAGTGGGTAGGTTATAAAGAGATTTATTTAGCTCACAGTTGTAGAGATTCAAGAGTATAAGTACTGATGTGCTCAGCTTTGGTTGGGATGGCATGGCAACAGCAGGAGAACTGCAGGAATAGTGGGTGGTATTAAGAGAAGTGGTGAATGGTATATGCTGTAAAACCAACCCTCTTACAACATCCTGTGAGTAAGTGCACTTTAGAAAGAAAAGCATTAATCCTCCTGAAGACCTAACCCCCCCACTAAGACCACCTCTTAAAGATTCCATTGCCTTCTAACACATGAGCCTTCAAGGAATACATCATATCCAAGCCAGAGTAGATGATAGCTTCATAACCTTGATGTCTAATGTAAAAATCAAATAAAAAAATTGAAACATTACAATTAAAATTTTGCATTTATCAAAAGTTCTCACCAAGAGAGGGACAGGCAAAAGTTTGTATAATACATAGCACTGACAAAGGATTCCTATCAAGAATGTATAAGCACACTGATAATACAATAAAAAATGAGCAAAAAGTATGACAAGGTAAAGAGGATATCTAATTAGCCCATATATGTATGTATGTAAAGTTGTTCAACATCATTTGTAATTAGGAAAATGCAAAATAAATATACAGTGAAGTGTTGGCAAATAAGTACCAGTGTTTCTCGTAGAAGGAATGAAAAAAAAACACCTAAGTACATGGACACCAAAAAAAAAATCATGTACAGAAATGTTTGGAGCAAATATTGGTGTCAATCCAAATGAAGCAAGTTGTGTATACTCATTATACTCTAAAGAAAATGCTCAATACGTGGTAACAAACAGTAAGAGACATGGGTCATAGAATCAATACATAGAAAAAGTGGCCAAGGCATAAACAATATAGAGCAAAAGCAGGCAATATTGCGCAAAAGAATATCTACTGCATACTTTCATTAAATACAAAATTTAGATATGAGGCAAAATTATGTATAAAGATACAGGTTAACTTTGTAAGGGAGGAAGTCGCAAGTGGGAGAGAACACCAAAGCTTCAAGGAGGATGGCTGTGTTCTACTTTTTAACCTGGTTTGTAGTCACATGAATGTCCACTGTGTGTATATTTATGTCTCGTTTTACTGCATATGTAATACACTTTAGAATAACATCCTCCACCAGCTAACCAAAGTTTTGTCCATTGATGAATTTGCTTTTTATTAGACATGCTTCGAGTGGAGGGACTGTCCAAACACTAATATACTCTTCAATTCTGACTTGCTAGGATTCTATGAAGAGATTTTCTTTTCTTTTTCTTGAAGTAGGGTTAGGTTTGAACCTGAGAGACACAGACTTCATGTAAGGGTAAAAATTATAGCTTAAGGGGGCTGGGAAGGTGACTCAGTGGTAGAGCGCTTGCCTTGCATGCCTGAGGCCCTGGGCTCGATTCCTCAGCACCACATAAGCAAAAAGAAAAAAGCTGGAAGTGTGCTGTGGCTCAAGTGGTAGAGCACTAGCTTTGAGCTGAAGAGCTGAGGGACAGCGCCCAGGCCCAGAGTTCAGGCCCCACAACCAGACACCCCCCCCCAAAAAAATTATAGCTTCAGTACTGACAAAACCAAGATTAGCAGATGTATGATCATAATGAAGTACAAAATACCCTCAGCTAAGTCAGAAAGGTGTCCAAGGCAAAGATGGACACCTTCTTATTTTCCTGTAGTCTACCTAAGAAAGCCTATTTATTGGCTGAAAAAGAAATGCAGAGTACCTCAGGCAGAAATTTTCTCATAAGTCAATTCTTCCCTTCCTGGAGAGTGGAGTGAGGGAGGGAGCTTAATTCCCTTCTAGGATAGTAGGATGTTAATTCTCTCCACTCTATGGAAACATGATAAATGAGCAATAAATATCATCCCTCAGCAACTAGCAGACTAAGCTGTGTAAGTGTGTATCTTTGAAACTTAACAAAGCCTGCTATGGGCAAATTTTTAGAATGAGCTTAGTTCTCCTGTTTACAGCTTCCACTGCAACAGCAGCAAACATTCTCCAATCACACAGAAATTTTCCTTGCAGCATCCGTAGTAAAAGTAAAGGGAACTTCACTAGAAGTGAAGAGCCACAGAAGAAGATCCACACTTTGGATCTTCCCGTAGTCATATATTTGTGAGTAAAGACTTTTTCTCATTTCTCCATTAGGTCTATTAAATTTATGCAGCTGTGAAGTTTACTTAAATCATTCTTTTTCAAAGTTAAGTTTGATCTAAGTAGCTTTCCTAAACAGACAACAAAAATACAAACAGATACCTATCTCTTTACATTATTTTTTTCTCAGTGATGAACAATGATTACTGTGGGCACAAAGGCTTTAGTTCACAATGTAAATCAATATAAATAATTTGATGCAAAAATGTTGGTTCACATATAGCAGTTTTAATTAAAATTTTATTTTTACTTTGGGATAACAGTAGATTTACATGCATTGTAAGAAGGAATGAAGGCCAGGCTTTTAGATCTCAGATCCAATGTCCAGGAGGCTCAATTAGGTCCAACCACTTACACCCACAAGCCAAATAAAAGACATGGGAAGGAGATTTATTACATGGCCGCTATGGGAAGGCAGTTCTTCAGTTCATCTTCAGCTCTCTTCCAAGGGTAGACACTTGCTTCAGATGAAATAGGGAGGACTGAGGACAGGGAATGAGAAAGGTATGCATAGCTAAAACAGTTTCAAGTCACAGGTGTAAAAAGTTATCACTTTATTACTGGAACAGAACAGAAACAAGATGGTTTCCTGAATTTTGGCTCTTGCTTTTAAGATAAGAAGACATTGCTTGTCTAAAGGGTGATGTTCCTTCTAAATAACATGCTTATCTGTGAATCTGGTCTTCCTTGGAGTCCATAGTGATTATAAAGTTGACTGAAACAGAATAACTCAGATAAAGGGCACAGATACAGAGTTGAGAGAAGTTTAATTAATTCACAAGACCTGGCAAAAGCATCTTTTAAGTTGCCTCTTACAGAGCTATTCTATATTAACACAGTTTGCTCCAACAGTAACATGGAACTATCAAAACAAAGATGTAACAAAACAGTCATGGTTATAGGATATTTTCATCATCACTATGATCACTCAAATTGTTCTTATAGCCACATTTACTTCCATTCCTATGCCTCCTTAACATAGTGCCAGAAATGTGTTCTTATAAATGAAATTGTGTGTGTATTCTTTTTTTTTTTTTTTTTGGGTCCGGTCATGGGGGCCTGAACTCTGGGCCTGGGTGCTGTCCCTCAGCTCTTCAGCTCAAGGCTAGCGCTCTACCACTTGCGCCACAACACCACTTCCGGCTTTTCTCTTTTTGCTTATGTGGTGCTGAGGAATCGAGCCCAGGGCCTCATGCATGCAAGGCAAGCGCTCTACCACTGAGCCACCTTCCCAGCCCTGTGTGTGTATTCTTATAGGATCGCTTTGACATTCAGCATACTTCTTCACTGGAATTCATATTGTTTCATTGTCTTTAAACTTTAAATTGTGGTTTCATGATCAGGATGTTCCACCATTCACTTGCTGAAGAAATTTTGGTTTGTTTTGGGTATTACACATAAGGCTGCAATATCAAGTAGAGGTTTTTGTGTGAAAATATTTTCATAATGATGGCAATTCTAACTTTCTCCCTGAAAACTACAGAATAAAAGAGCCAAAGGTCACAGAAGACTTTCCGTAACTGAGGATTAACTCCAATCAGTACCTACAACTTTACAACTATTTGCTTCTTGACTTTGCAACATCCTTCACTCTGAGCTTCAATTAAATAACATACATGTTTTTCAAGATGTATTCTTTGAAGCATGAACTCATGAAATGTCATAAAAGGAAGGTTAGGGGAAATTTGATCTCAAAAATAAATATTTCTCTCCTTTGAACTTGAAAAATGCACATTTGTACACAAAAGGAGGAATTCAATATCCAAATACCCAAGTGGTTGGATCCCAGCTTTATTATGTATTAGAAAAGGTAACCCTTGGTAACATTTAACTTTCCTATACCTCCATTTCTTTATTTGTAAAAAAAAATTAAATGAACAGTATAACCTCACTCATGAATAGAAGATTACAAGCACACAAAATATACTTGATAAACACTAATATTTATTATCATTATTGCCATTATAATCCAAGCCATCATCAAAATCATTGTTAAAAAAATATGCCCAAGTACCACCCTGGAGATTCAGATTCATTAAAGCTGAGGTAAAGTCCCATCTAGAGAAGAAGCATAGGTTCATTCTCATTTAACATGGTACCATAATAATATTCAAACCTAGACCATAGTATTCAAATGCCAGTGAGAGGTGACACATTTATGTCCATACACAAGTTTAGTAAGTTCTTTACATGACCAACTGTGGTCCTGCAAAAGAGTTTTCTCCCAGACTGGTATTATAACATCAAATAATTGTGATTTCTCAAGATGGTGATCAATAAAATAAAATGCAGTTTGGCGTAGTTGATCCATAGCAGCTTTTTTTTTTAAAATCCAAAGTATAACAGTTAACATGGATACTTGAAAACTGTATTTGTGATGGCTGGGTATGGTTCTAGTGCATAGAATACTTGCCTAGCAAGCACAAAGTCATGAATTCAAATGCCCATGCGGCCAAAGCAAATTACACAAGTCATAGCTTAGTAAATCAAATCTGAAATAAGGTATTATTTCCTTAGAAATAAAAGGAAACTATTATGGTTATAATTTGTACAGGGTCCACCTATCACACTACTCATTTCCAAAGGTCCTCCTATGATCAAGGCACTATCCAGGGCACTTGGGAATCATTCTGGAGGTGGTGGCAATCTTCTTACCACTTCCACGGCAACCCTCAGGTAAGCTTTGGCCTGAAAAAAGCACAAATTCGTTTGTTCTATAGATTTCCCAGCAGACATGGAATGACTCTTGAACTGTTTGTTATAGATGCCTGCGTATTTGGTAGTAAAAAAGGCTGGGTAGGATGAGGAAATTCAGTAGTGAGAAGACAATTCTGTGTATATTACAGGTGAGGCAGACGAGAGAGATTTTAAATTATTTGGAGGGTAATTATATGGAAGATAACTTTCTGAAAAAAAGATTTCGTATTAGCCATTATTGTTTTTTCAAATTCGAATCCCAGTGCTAGCAAACTAGCAATGGAGTCCAGACATAAAAGGTGACATTTTAAGGAGGATTGTATTGACCATCCTGTGGTCTACCTTCTGAGAGAGCTTTCTTCATTCTCTTTGAGGTTTGTAATACCAATACAAGCTCTGGTTTTTGGTTGCATTTCTTTTTTGGGGGCAAGGGGTGAATACCATGAACAAATTCTGGTCCAGTGTTACATTCTTCATACCCTCTTTATCTCGGGATTCCTAGTACATTGAGTTACTGAGGTCAGCTCCCAAGTCAGAGCGGGCCACAAGCCAACTCAATGTCCACAACGAACATGACTTTACCCTTTAAGAATTTTTAAATACCTGCTGTGTAAGTATTATTTACTTCTCCTATCATATTCATAAAGTCAGTATAATAATTAAGATTTTTAAGTTCTTTTTTGAGACAGTCTCATTATAGAGAAAAGGTTGGCCTTAAACACATGATCTTTTTGCTTGTTTCTCAGGGGATAAAAGATAGGACAGATTTCTCAAACTATTGATTTTCTCTTTTTCCATCAACTCAACTCTATGTAGACTAACCCTTCCTTCCTATTCTAGATCTTTACATTAGGCTACTAAGAACCACAGATAGTCTAGCTGACTCTAGTTATCTGCTCTGCCATTAACAAGCAACAAGGGGAAATGGAACAGGATTCTTAGGAAGTAGGATTCATTACAAGTCTAACCAGAAGGATTCAGATTCTAGGACATAATTATAGCTTCCTAACATTTAGGAGTTAACAAATAGAATCTGGAACTCTACTTGTGTGATTCAAATTCTGCTACTCTGAATTTTTAATGTCATCAAAGAGTATCAATTACTAGGTGAGAGTTAGGGTATTAGTGGACTAGACCCCTTTAATAAAGGGAAGAGGAAATATTCAGTGTTACAATACAAGAAGTTCCAGAAAGTAGTAAGTACAGTTGCATTCTATAGCATTTTTCAGCATTGTTTTACACTTTAATTCTCATTGTGGCATCAGTTTATAGTTGGAAACAAGAGTTCAAGAGGTTTAGGGAAGTTGCTTGAGATGGTAAGTTTGGTAATGAAACCCTATGATGATTTAGATTTAGAGCATTTCCTTCTATGCAGAGATCTCCTTTGAGAATCCAACACAGAAGTCCAATTCCCCAGAGGAGTGTACCTTGGCACATACAGTCAATTCTCAAGCCTACAAACCCTCCATGCTTTACTCTGCCACTATACACATCAACATTTCTTACCCATGCACCAGAAACACACGGGACTAACCTCTCAGTAGGTACTGCACTGGGAAATAAAGGCATGGGCTGTGTACCAGAGCCAAGTGTGGAACTGGCTTTTAGTACTATCTTGAACAAGCTTCCTTAACATAAATGAAGCTCTGCCTATTCATCTGAGAAAATGGAGGCTCTAAATATCAAGCAAGATAATATATTAAGTGCACTTAAGCATTGTACCAGTCTCTTAAAAGAACCTGAAGAAATTGTTGCTATTTGTATAGGACCCTGAAGATGATACAATAGAAAGAAGCCAAGATCTGACAAAAAGAGACCTGTCTTTTAATCACATTTTATAATGCAATAGTTCTGCAATCTTGGGGAAAATACTTAACTTCTTTGAGCCTGTTTCCTCAACTACAATATGGCAACTCTTTACTTATTGCATTAAATTTCTGTGAGGACGGAAAACAATATAAATAAAAGGCCTGATAATATTTAGCTCACTGTAATTATTATTATTAGGACTTGATTAAGAATAATAATGCCTGTGACCTACAAGTAGAAAGTAATATCTTCCATGGAAAAATAACAAAGACATATTTTCTCCTCTCTATGGTTTTAATTAAATCTTAAAATTGATCAGATGTCTTCATATTTAAAGCTGATGATGTGGTACATGAAATCCTCACCCTTTTTGAAGAAATTTCACAAAATCAAAACTATTCTAAATCATAAGTGTTCTGGTTGTCTTATGATTTTCAGAAATGCTCCTAAGCTATAGTAAACAAATAGGCTTGATATCTATGCAAATGTAAATCAGAGTATTAAAAACATACTTTCAAAAACTACTTTCACTGCTGTTTAGAATTTAAAAATATATCTTTGGGTGATTGTTATATGTTTTCTGTTATATAACAGAAATGTTTGTTACTTTGGAAGAATTTTTTCTTAATGCAATAATAATTGAAATAAAGGAGTATGTATTTTTATTCATAAGAAATCACTATGGAGTATCTTTAAATAATCTGTTCTTAGAAGGAATTTAAATATGTGTAATCTTTTTTTTTTGTCGGTCGTGGGGCTTGAACTCTGGGCCTGGGCGCTGTCCCTCAGCTCTTCAGCTCAAGGCCAGCGCTCTACCACTTGAGCTACAGCGCCACTTCCGGTTTTCTGGTGGTTTATTGGAGATAGGAGTCTCACAGTCTTTCCTGCCCGGGCTGGCTTTGAACCGCGATCCTCAGATCTCAGCCTCCTGAGTAGCTAGGATTACAGGCGTGAGCCACCAGCGCCCGGCTTATGTGTAATCTTTTTAAGCTCAATTTTCAAGTTTATCAAATATTGCACATATGAAGTACACCTATGGTAATTGGGATTGTCAGGCATTAATTATAAAATCAATAAAAGGCTATAGTTTTTGATATCTGAAAACTTTTCAAGAAAGCTTTAAAAGGCAATGTAACATTCTAATACCTAAAAGACAAAGGAAAAACTCTCATTACAGTAACTTATATTTTATGTACTCAAAGATCATACTGCCAGCAACTCAGTTATCAGTACCCTCAGAAAGAACCTCTGGGACTCTGAATGAGGAAACTAAATAATAAAGCTACTTTACTTATGTAAAACTAACTTCACTTATGTAAAACTACAGCTTTAACAAAATTTGGCTCTTTTATTTTCCAATTCTCAGAAGAGTAGAGGACGAAAACTAGCATGAAAAGGTAGTCATGGATAGGCAAAATAACAGTGAAAGTATGCACACTGGTTAAGAGGGGAAAAGAAAATGATTGCAAGATTGATGTTCAGGAAAAGGGGTCCTAAACTACATCAAAACCGAAGTACTAGATGACAACTCAGTTTCCAACTTAAATAGCAAATACTACTTAGAAAAAACAATATATGTAATTGATTTCATTTCCAATTTTTAAAAAGAAGTACAATAAATATTTTATGCTAAAAGATTTTATGTTCCAGCAACTCTAAAAATCTACCGACACTCCTGGCCTCTGAAACACTACTAGTCTCCATTCTACCTCCCCAGTCATATTTATTATGAGTGCAATGAAAATCTCATCTGTAATAATTGGATGTCCTCTATCTATCCAACTTAATACTTTACTACATTAGGTTCTTATCTCCTAACAATCAACTGAATTTGTAAAACAGAAACAATAATTCTATATACTTGGATATTGTTAGCCACCAATAGCAAGTCTTACAAACAACAGTTTGTAAACACTGGACAAGTTAATGAATCCTTGTTTATCTATCTATCTATCTGTCTGTCTGTCCGTCTGTCTGTCTGTCTGTCTATCTATCTATCATCCATCCATCCATCCATCCATCTATCTATCTATCTATCTATCTGCCCTGTACACAGATAAGCTTACTTTTCCAAACTTTCTACATATCAAAAAGCATATAGTCTACAACAAGAAATAAAAAAAAAACATAAAATCCACAACTTACCTCATCACTTTCAGGCTGTGAGAACACAACTGGCTGGCCTATGTCTGAAGCTTCCCTTATACTGAGGTGTAAAGGAATGTCTCCTACAAGAGCCATGAGATATCTATTAGTACCAGAGACTCAATTTCATCTTAGGAAAGAAACAAAGTCTGAACTAAACCCATCTGAATTACATCCACTCATAATTATCTTCAATTTGCAAATGTCCGAAAAAGGAATTTCCGATGGAAGCGAGGTGCAAAATTTCCCATTTGAGGGTGGTATAGTTACTACATATGTAGTAACTGCCATGTGGCAGCCAATCAAGGGATGACGCCTTTGTTTTATTCTTTGCTAGAGGTCTTCCAGCAAGGAATAGCTTACAAGACATTTGCAAATGGTTTCCCCCTGTAGTATGCAATACGGACACATCATACCACACAAGGCCTAACTGAAGAGCAAAAGATACAGAAGAAAAGTAGTCCCCTAAAAGTACAACAAAATTGTCTTTGTGATGTTTGCAGATAAGTGAGCTAAGAGGCCTATTAAAAGGCAGGTGAGACCTGTTATCTCAACTATTAGCCTTTTTGTCAGACAAAATTATTTTTCTCTAATTATTTACTAATCTATGAAATATTATAGACAGCCAGTGAACCTGATGAGTTTATAATTTTTCTCTGATTATTTACTAATCTATGAAATATTATAGACAGCCAGTGAACCTGATGAGTTTATAATAGGAAATAGCAACAAACAGGCTGCTATTAGAGTGGTATGTTCTTTCTAAGAACATTATTACTCTTAGGTGTTAGAATTTAAGAGCAAAATGCTTTGACTCATTGTTCAATACACTCTTTTAAAAAAATTAGTGTGAATATGCTCTTTTTACCACACTATCACAAATGAAGTCTCTCAGAGATTGAGATTTAAAATTCAATAGAGTTTTAAGTGGAAATGACTCATGATGGTTCTCAATAATCTCAGAATCACTCAAAATCCATGCAAATGTTATTGAAACATGTTTATGTTTTTATACAAATAACTTGTTCCATATCCTGCCAGACAATGCCAACTATGCAGAAGAAATATGTTACAAAAATACTACAATTTATTATTAAGTACACAGGGACAGATCATTCACAATCCTCCTGTTCTGTAATCTTAACTCTTGAAGTCTGTCCTTAATATTCAAGAATCAAATAACAAGTTATATGAACATCAGTAGCCCTTTAAGGATTAGCTTTTCAGTCAATCTGATGTATATTCTACAGATCAACTTCAGTGTATAAGAAATTGTTAAGGGACAGAGATTACAGATTACAGAAAACACTTAGTCATCAATAAAGTATTCTCCCCCCCTGTATGAACTACCATTACAATAAGGAATTTGGAATCATTTTTTTCTACAGCAGAGACGAAAGTAAAATAAGCAAATTGTTCTCTTTTATATAGCCACCTAGTGACACTGTTTCTATCCTCCAGAGACTCACAGTCCTATCTACAGACACTCAAGAGTAGACCAGGAGGGGGCACAGCTAAGAGTGGTAATGCAATAACAGTGGATCTTGAAAGGAACAAAGGTATGGAGCAACCTGGGTGTAAGAAGTACTTTATTTTTAGTTTTTATTGTTAAGGTGATGTATAGAGTGGTTCGAGTTACATAAGTCAGGTAATAAGTACATTTCTTGTGAAACTTGTTACCCTTCCGTCATTTTTCTCCTACTTTCTGTCCCCCATGCCCTCACCCCAAAGTTGTACACATCATTTCCAACATATTGTCTTGTGTATATTGCTGTTGCATTGGTTTCCCCCTTGTCCTTTGTCTCACCATTTTGTTGTTCCCATTTTCATCCTTACTTCAAATAAATGTATATTTAATACCAGGGTACCAAAATCAAATACAGTGACAACAGGGGATAGACCATAGGGGGAAGAACATACAAAAGAAACAAAAAAAATCACATAGTACATTAAAAACAACAACAAAGAAAAACCTCTTGTGGAAAAAAAATTATATTAAGTGAAGTAAGCCAGACCCAAAGAAACATAGGTCCCATGGTTTCCCTTATTTGCAATAATTAGTATTTGTTTAGGTTAATCTTTTCAAATGAGCAGAACAGCTCAATAGGTATGTACATATGACCATATAAGATGATGCTAAGTAAAATGAACTCCAAGACATGAGAAGTACTTTAGAGGGACTATCTCTGAAAGAGGTGAGGTATTGTATACTTCAGACTCAGAATAGGTCCAAGGGTTTTCTCTAACATGGTCTGAATCATAAGTACAATGCATAAACTGTTTCTGTAGATAAATATTAGATAATGTCCTGAAATGCTATTTAACCAAGTAATTAATTTAAAATATAACCCAAATGATGAAATAACTTAAGTGGCTGGCAGGTATCAGTATGGACCAGAGAGGGTTCTTGGGTTGGGGGTAGGGGGGCGTTCTCTCAGGTGACATTAGCTAAGAGAGCTCCTTTCCTGGCTTCAGTGCCTCATTTACAGTTCCAATCTCTACATAATTAGATCTTCTGCTCCAGTTCATGGGAGACCCCTCTTGGGACCATATGACTACATTAAAACAGGTAGGGGGTCCTGAGCTGGAGCTGAATAAATTATCTTTCCTGTAACACTGCTAAATATAGCAGTCTATAGTATTATCTACCTAGTTTGTGACATTTTTTTGTCGATTATATATTTGTGAGTTGTTGGTTAAAACTTGAGTTGCAGATTTGAAGACTTTCCCTGTGAGATGTTTCAAATCCTAAATAAATGACTTACAAAGTTGTGCCACTCATTTGTAAGTCAAGGAACTCTAATACTGCCATCATAATTCAATAATTCATTATAATTATACATCTAATTTATTATATAAATGAATGTCAATCTGTTATTTGGAAAATTGAACTTTCTATGTTAGTTAAATGAAAAGCAGTTGAAGAATACAATTACTGGGTATAATTAGACAATGTATCAAAATACATCATTAGTATTCACCTGGTATTCACCTGCTATTATAATACAAATGCATAATAATCATAATATGTTTAACATTAACTTTAAGAAATTTATCATCATTTTTTGAAATTCTTTAATATCTAAAACCAATAATTCATTCCATGCAACCTTTATTCAGAAACTGACATTTGCCTTTGACCAGAACAGAAACTCATTCACAATATTATCAATACACATTTTCTTAAAAATCCAATAAGTTGCTTGTGAATTTTTCAAAAATCATGTTGCATCCAAAGATCTGCTTTGCCCAGTTAACACATGATTTTAGTTCTCCCTTTTACAGTAATCTTTAACAATATACTGTGAACAATGTGTACATGTATGTGTGTGTATATATATATATATATATATATATATATATATAATGTAAATTGTAGTACCATGGCAAACACATAAAAAGATTATAGAAAACAGTAAATATTGTCATTCTAAAATGTAGACTGACAACACATTCCTGACTGGGAAGGCCTCTTTGTATATGCTCCAAAACCAAACACTGGTACAGCTGCATAGCATCAATTATATTTGTTGATGCTGGGTATTTATGGTCAATTTAGCATCCAAAATGATTTAAAACATGGCTGTAAGTCATTGTACTTATAGTACAAAACTCTCATCTCAAGACTGAAGTTTCAGGCAATTTTTATCTGAGGTAGAAATTAGTATCATAGTTGATAGGACAATATTTTTTTGTTGTTGTTCTGGTCCTGGGTTTGAACTCAGGGTCTAGCTGCTGTCTCCTAACTTTTTTTCTCAAGACTATCACTCTACCACGTTTAGCTACAGTTCTACTTCTGACTTTTTTGGTTAACTGAAGATAAGAGAAGTGTCTCACAGGCTTTCCTACCTAGGCCAGCTTTGAAACATGATTCTCAGATATCAGCCTCTTGAGTAGCTAGGATTACAGGTGTGAGCCATTGGTGCCTGGAGGACAAGCCTATTTTTAAAAAGCCAAAGAAGTACTGGGCACCAGTTGCTCACATCTGTAATCCTAGATACTCAGGAGGCTGACAGCCGAAGATCAAGATTCAATGCCAGGGGCTGGGAAGGTGGCTCAGTGGTAGAGTGCTTGCCTTGCATGCCTGAGGCCCTGGGTTCTATTCCCCAGCACCACATAAGCAAAAAGAAAAAAGCCGGAAGTGGTGCTGTGGCTCAAGTGGTAGAGCGCTAGCCTTGAGCTGAAGAGCTTAAGGACAGCGCGCAGGCCCAGAGTTCAGGCCCCACGACCGGACCTCCCCCCCCCCGCCCCCCGCAAAAAAAGATTCAATGCCAGTCCAGGCAGGAGACTCTTATTTTCAGTTAACCACCAAAAAGCCAAAAGTGAAGCTTGGCTAGCCTTGAGGGGAAAAGTAAAAGGACAGTACCTAGGCCCTGAGATTAAGATCCTGTACCAACATGCATGTATGAACACACACACACACACACACACACACACACACACACACACACAGCCAAAGAAAACAGAACAGCACTACACTAACATAATTTAAAACAAAGCATTCTTAATCACCAAGCCTCACCCCACTTTCTCTTTGCAACTTCTCCTGTAAGGAACACTGAGGTCTTACCTAGAACGTCAAGGTTAAGGGTCCGTGCTAGTTTCCTGGCACCATCAGTACCAAAAAGAGGAGTTTTGTATTTACATTTTGGACACTGGAAAACACTCATATTTTGTATAAGGCCAAGAACCTGGAATAGAAAAGAAAAAATATATTGAAATTGAAAAAAAAAAAAAGAAAAAAACCTACAATAGAATTTTTTTGTTCTTGTTGTTGTGGGGCTTGAACTCTGGGCCTGAGTGCTGTCCCTCAGTTCTTCAGCTCAAGGTAGTGCTCTACCACTTGCGCCAGGGCGCCACTTCCAGTTTTCTGGCACTTTATTGGAGATTAGGAGTCTCATGGACTTTCTGCCTGGGCTGGCTTTGAACCGTCATCCTCAGATCTCAGACTCCTTAGTAGTTAGCACTATAGGTGTGAGCCACTGGCACCCAGCAACAACAGAATCTTAATATATCATTTCAACAAGTTTTTACTGAGTACTTACATGACAATATACAATGGCGAGTAAGGAAAGTCTCTGTTCTCACAGATAGAGATCAAGACAAAGGTAACTAACTTTAAGAAATAATAATATTTAAAAGTGGTAACTGTTTAAAAGAAATGATTAAACCGGAACCAAAAAAATCTCTGCCTGGGTAGAATGAGAGGAATCTTTGAATTAACCATGGATAATTGTTTCTTCCAGTTATGAGGAGGCAGCCTGAAGAAGGGGTGAGGCCTGTGGCGGGATGCAGGCAGAAGCAAGGGTACAGCCAAATCATCAAAACGTTAACTATTTGTACCTATTTGAAGTACAACCCAGTGATAGTCAATGCAGAAACCAATTAAGCAAAGAAGGTTAGGGTCAGATGGTAGTAAGGCTTAAGTATGAAATGTTTCCCATAGGTTCATGTTTTGAACACTTGGTCCTGTTGTTATTTTGGGAGGCAGTGAATTTTTTTTTTTTGGGGGGGGTCCGGTCGTGGGGCCTGAACTCTGGGCCTGGGTGCTGTCCCTCAGCTCTTCAGCTCAAAGCAAGCACTCTACCACTTGAGCTACAGCGCCACTTCCGGTTTTTTTCTTTTTGCTTATGTGGTGCAGGGCCTCAGGCAAGCAAGGCAAGCGCTCTACCACTGAGCCACCTTCCCAGCCCCGAGGCAGTGAAATTTTTGGGAAGTAGGGACTAGCTGGAGGAAGCAGTTCACTTGGGAGAGTGGTCCTTGAGCTATATCTTGTCTTGGCTACTTCTTGTATCTTTTCTCTCTGCTTTCTGTCTTTCAAGAGGTAAATAGTTTCTTCCTCTTCAAACTCACCGCCATGTGTCCTGTTCAACTACATGGAGTCAAGCAACCACAGATTTAATTATCAAACTGTGAGCCAAAACAAATCTTTTCTCTTTGAAGTTGTTTTGATAGGCTTTCTGGTCATGTTGATGAGAAAAGCAACTAATACAGATGATAAGGTATAAAATACCATTCATGAATATGATGCTTTTTTGTACAAACAGAAAATCATGGAGATTTTTAAAGTTGAAAAGATGGTACTGAAAAATAGTACTAGACAATTAGATGTGCATTACAGAAATTTTGTTCTGAAGATAATATAGAGAACAAGAGAAGAAAGAAAATAGTCAAGAGATTACGATGGGCAGTATCTCATGGCAAATAACAGGTAACATATACTTGGCCCTTACTACACATCATTTTTTAATAAATGATTTCAAGGTGTTTATTCATTTCTTATAAGAATAGAGGTTTTCTTTTCAAAAGAAGTAAGAATGGCCAATAGATACATGAAGAGGTGTTCAACATCTCTCGCCAGAAAAGAAATGTAAGTCAAATTGAGATCCCTCTCACCCCAGATAGAATGGACTTTATCAAGAAAACTAACAATAACAGACGCTGGCAGGGATATGGCCAAAAGAGAATGCTATATACTGTTGGTGGGAATGTAAACTTGTTCAACCACTCTGGAAAACAGTATGGAGGTTCTTCAAAAAAGTAAACATAGCACTTTCCTAACACCAGTAATCCCACTTCTGGGCATTTATCCAATTGACCACAAACCAGGCCACAACAAAGCTACCAGCACAACCATGTTTACTGCAATATTGTTTACCATAGCCAATATATGGAATCAACCCAGATGCTCCTCAGCAGATGAATGGATCAGCAGACGAATGGTATATATACACAATGAAATTCTGTGCTTCCATCAGAAAGAATAATATCATACTATTCATAAGGAAATGGAAAGAATTGGAAAAATTATATTAACTAAAGCAAGTCAGACCAAAAGAAAGGTAGCATGGTTTCCCTCATTTGTTGTAACTAGAAAGTGCCTATAAATCTACAAGTAAACACACTGGATGGTAAAAGACAAAAAATACAGTTGGATATGATAAATTATATAAGGTGCTAGACATTCACACAGTAAGACCTAAGGAGGATATTCTTAGGAGAGTATCACAGGGTTCAATAGCTATGTACATATGATCATATAAAATGAGTTATGTAAAAAATGAACTCCAAGCAATGGAAAAACGAGGCTCTGTTATTTTTGTTTCTTGTCTGTTCCCCCTCCCCATCACTGTTTTTGCTTTCTGTGCCTTTTGTTTTGTATGTAAGTTAATCTAATTTGGGGAAGGTAAGGGGCAGCACAGACATAGGTGGGACAAAGAGTGAGTAAATGAAGCAATAATGCTCACTAGACAACATGTTAAAAATAAATGATACTATTTGTGGGGAAGGGTGGTCAGGAGGGAAAACCTGGGAGAAAATGAGGGAAAAGGGAACACTGTTGAAAAAGAAATGCACTCAGACCTGATTTATGTAACTATAACCCCTCTGTAAGTCACCTTTACAATAACAATAAAAAAAAGAGGTCTTTTATCATTCTCATTCTATAATTGGGTAGAAACTGACAGTGGTAGCAAAAGACTGATATTTAGCTCTTATTATAATAAGAGCCAACTGTTATTGATCAAAACAAAATATTAACATTTCATAGGAAATCCCTACATCTTTCTGAATTTACCTAGTTTCTGGGGCAAAATAGATCCTTAATAAACATTATTATTTGATAGTACTGTTGAATAAATACATAGGCTCTACAAATGTGATTTGTATTCATGCTCCTTTCAACCTCACTGTCTTACTGATAAAAAATAAGGTGTTCCTAAAATAAAAATGCAGTCAGCACCACCGTCAGAAACTCAGAGAAAGCAATGTTTGCATCATCCCATCAGTTTCTCCATACCACTGTCATTGAAGGAGTTACTAGAACATTTGCATTTTGAATGAAGAACAACACTGAAAGCCCATAATGAAACGCACAGACAAGAAAGTGATAAGATTTGTTATTTTTTTTTCTGAAAGGAGCAACAGAAAAGACAAACTATAAAGGGCATGAGTTTGTAGGAAAGCATTTCCGCAGATCTAAAATGTACTTTTTTCTGATGTGAAGTATCATGAAAAATATATCACACTGCTTTTTTAATTTAGTGCTATCTCCAGAAAGCTAGAGGCTTATTTGCTTGTTCACTATGACTATATACCCATTGCTTAAATGGTTTTATTGTCACTTATATTAAATGTTAAATTTACCCTGTGTAGGGCTTCAATTTAAAACATATCAGTCTATAAATGAAAACAGAAAAAAATACAGAACATAAAAGTCTAGGTGAAGGTGTACTTTAGAGAGAACAGGAAAAGCACTTGTACCTTGAAATCTCTTAGATTCTCCAAGACATAGAAACATGGTTCAAGAGTGTTTTTCCAGTCTGACTGATTTATTTCTCATCAGATTGTTCTCTATGGACTATGTAAATGTCTCAGGCATATTCTCTACAGATTACTTAAATATCAGAGACATTAAATATGACACTATAACCAAATACCATTAATGTATTATTATATACTAGTAACTAGGCTGAATAGAGTGAGGAGAACACACAGTGGTGAACTAGAGATTTGATATTTGCCCCATTTAGGGCTTGTGCTCTAACTGGAGAAAGGGGCTGAATAACAACAACAACAAAAAGCACTTCTATGGATGCAAAATACAAGCAATATGACAGGGCAGAACAGACAGGATTTAATATGCTCTAGAATTTCTTTTTGTTTGTTTTTGATGGCAACAGAGTTTGAAGTCAGGGCTTTGTGTTCGCTTAGCTAGTGCTCAACTACTTAAGCCAGGCTTCCAGTCTTGTTTTTTGTTGTTTGGGGAGGTATTGAATCTCACAGAGTATTTCTGTCTGGTCTGGGTTTGTACTATGATCCTCTATGTTTCAGCCTCCTGAGTAGCTAGGATAACAAACATGAGTCACTGGAGTCTTGCTTACTCTAGAGTTTAAGGATACATGTACTCCTTATTTCAAGGAAGAAATTTCAGAAAAGAAATAGGGAGTACATGTATACTTTTAAGAATTTAGAAAGCCAATCTGATACTTGTGAGATGTGGTGTGAGTAGCATGAGATAAGTCTGAACAGGTGGGAATGTAGATGATATTCAAGTGTCTGGTTTTATATAAGTGCAAAGGGACACCACTAAATGAGTTTGAATAGGAGAGGCCACTATAGCTATGGTTATAGCAAACTCATTAGTTAGGATTCAATTCAGAGTTTTAAAAAACAATGTAAAATAATGGAAAAAAGAAAAAGGATTTGTTTTTGTGTATTAACTTTCTTAGGCAAACATAAATTCAGGGCTATGTTATCCAAAAATCAATCATGAAAGATGTCCTATTTTTTCAGCATAAATAATTCACTTTACAAAAATGAATTGAGCTACATACTTATAATATGTGCTATTAGGTTGGTACGTCAGCTGGGAAGGTGGCTCAGTGGTAGAGCACTTGCCTTGCATGCATGAGACCCTGGGTTCGATTCCTCAGCACCACATAAGCAAAAAAAAAAAAAAAAAAGATAGGTTGGTATGTCATAGTCCAATAAAAAGCTAACATGCTCGAGGCATGGCTCAGCACAAGAGTGCCTGTCTACCAAGTGCAAGGCCTTAAGTTCAAACAGTAGTACAGCAAAAAAATTTTTTTTTCTTAAGGAACTCTCAAAGGTTTTGAGGAAAAACCCTGGGAGAAAATCTCAAAGAGAAGGGTTTAAGTACTAAAACTCACTGTTCTTACTCATTTAACAG